GTTCTATTGTTCGTGTGTTGAGTTGGCGTCCGGTTTCTCCTATGTATGTTTTATTGCAGAGTTTGCATGGGATTTCGTAAATGACTCTACATTTAAGTCCAGCTGATATTTTGTCTTTGGGTGCACTAGTCTGTTTCTAACTGTTGTGTATGGCTTTGTTGGTGTGTTTATGTTGTGTTTTTTCATTGTTGCTCTTATTTTTTCTGTTATGCCTTTGATGTATGGTTGGGTTATCACTGGTTTTGGTTCTTGTCTTTCTGGGTTTCTGGTTCTTTGCTTAGGTTGTTCTTTTCTTTCTGTTGTTGTTTGTTGTTTTCCTTTGTTTATCGCCCATGTCAAGTATCCGCAGGTCTTTAAAGCATGTTGTATGTGTTTGTCCTCTTGTTTACGATCTCTCGCTTCTGTTATCATGTTTGCTCTGTGATATAATGTTCTGATTACTGACATTTTGTGTATGGTGGGGTGTTCTGATGTCCATAATAAGTATTGGTCTGTGTGTGTTGGTTTCCTGTATGTGTTTATGCTTAGGGTCCCGTCGGTCTGTCTGGTTATGTTCATGTCTATAAATGCTATACTGCCTTCTGTTTCTGACTCATATGTGAACTTTATGCTGCCTGTGTCGTCAATGTTATTCAAGTGTTGTGTTAGTGTTTCTGTTTGTCCTTCTGGTATGATTTCCAGTATGTCGTTCAGTAGCGTTTCCTTAACTTCATTTTGCAGTTGGGGTGGGGGGGTGGTGGTGGGGGGGGGGGGGGTCTATGGCTTTTTGCTCTAGGTCCTCCATACTCGCACAGGGTGGCTGATAACGGGTTACCCATGGTGAAGCCTTCCAGTTGTTTGTATGTTGTGTCATCGTATGTGAAGTAAGTGGAGTTAGCTACCAGTCTTGTCAGCTGTGCTATGTGATCTGCTGTGAGGTTTGTTCTTTTGTGTAAAGTCTTGTCTTGTCTGATTCTGTTAACTACTATGTCTATGGTTTTTTGGGTTGGTGTTTTTGTGAACAGCGATGTGACGTCATGTGAGATGAGTATGCCGTTGTCTTCTATGGTAATCTCCTTTAGTTCTTTTGCCAGTTCTATGCTATTTTTGCAATGTTGATGTTGTATGTTGGTGTACCTATGCTATCTGCTATGGGTCTAAGTGGGGTGTTTTGTTTGTGTATTTTTGGAGTTCCATAGATTCTTGGTATTATGCTTGCTGTAGGAATCCAGTGTTTGTACATTTTTCTGTTATTTTGCCTTTTTCTCGTAGTGGCTTCAGTAATTTTTTCATGTTTTTCTTAATGTTTTCTGTTGAGTATTTTTAAAGTATTTTGTATGTACTTTTGTCCTCTAGCATCTGCTTCATCTGTTGTTTTCGAGAGGGGAGAGCGGGCAGCAGAGGGCGACAACGTCCTGATCTCGCGATGAGCTACAGTGTAGTCACAGCTGCCCTAGGGCGCACTGACTGAGGCAAGGCCTGTCGAACGCTAGCGCCACCAGTCCCTCCGACCACCACCAGCAGTCAAGGTGGGTTAAGTGTCTTGCCCAAGGATGCAACAGCCGCATTCTCTGGTCGGAGCCGGGATCAAACCTACAACCTTCCGATTACTGGACAACCCACTCTACTTCCTGAGCTACTACTCTAAGACATTCACTGAGCAAGCCATCTGTTGGGACCTTATCCTTGATGTACTTATGGATCTTGGATTTTTCATCCTGGACCTTGGCTCTCGCACTCCTCGACCGCCTTCCTTGTGGCTAGTGTGCAGTCTCAGGGTGCTGGATTTGGAATGGAACCCTCCATGCATGTTTAGGAGCTTTCGTTTCTTAAAATCTGTGGTCTGTATTTCTTCCTTTGGCCAGCTTATTATTCCTGCAGGACATCTGATTACTGGCAGGGCGTAGCTGTTTATTGCCCAGATCTTGTTCTTGCAATTGAGCTGACTTCTTAGGACGTGCCTTACTCATTGTAGGTATTTGGCTGTGACTCCTTTCCTTGTGGCCTCATCAAGATTTCCATTTGCTTGTGGGATACCAAGGTACTTGTAGCTGTCCTCAATGTCTGCTATTGTTCCTTCTGGGAGTGAGACCCCTTATGAGTGGGCTACCTTCCCTTTTATTTGTCATCATCCAACCACACTTCTCAAGTCTGAATGACTTTCCGACATCAGTGCTGTAGATCCTGATGGTGTGGATCAGTGACTCGATGTCTCACTCGCTCTTGGCATACAGCTTATGTCATCCATGTAGAGAAGGTGGCTGATAATGGTTCCATTAAAGAGTCAGTAGCCATAGCCAGTCTTGTTTGTCAGATCTATTGAAAGTTTGCTCCGATCAAACCATCATTTTAGAACTATGATAAAATACACACACACACACACACACACACACACACACACACACACACACACAAGTGATTTTCCTAATGAAACCATTCAAGCCCATGTTGCAAAGCCACACTTAAGACTACAAAATTCAAATTAACAGGCATTCAACCACAGGTGAGTCTAATGATTCATTTAAGAGGTGTCCAGCAGACAGGTGACTATAAAAGGGCATTACTTAACAAAGAAAAGCCATTTCTAGACAGGAGCGTCACCTGATGAGAAGGGTTGAAGAAAATCAACATGCAAGTTCACTGCAGTTAGCTAAAGCAGTAGAAAGCCAAACTGGAATGATCGTTTCCTGTGACACCGTACAGCTCACAGTGCAGAGAAATGGCATGCATGGGTATCGTCCACGAAGGAAGCCTCTCCTAAATCCCATGCACAAAAAAACGCACCTAGGATCTGCTAGGGCCCATGCTGAAAGAGATGAAGACTACTCTCTAGACTCTAGACTCTGGAGTGATGAGACAAATGGCACTTTCACATTTGGGCCAGCACAGACCAGACCAAGCAGCTTTTAAATCACATGCACGATTAAATACCATTATGGATACTGAGAAGTCAACGTCACCTCTGATTGAAGCTGCGTCTCTCCGCAGTGCAGTGAGGAGCATGTGCACGCACGCACACACACACACACACACACACACACACACACACACACACACACACACACACACACACACACACACACACACACAGAGAGAGAGAGGTAGTGCTGCCGTGACTTGAGCTGCACAGCCGTCGTTTAAGGGAGACACCATAGACATTCCGTCCATCTTTTGCACTGCCCACGTGCTCGCAGATTTCCCATTCCTGAGAAGTGTGTGTGAACAAAACCTACCGGTACGGGACCTGGCTCGATGCCACCCATTCCAGTCTGTGCTGGCCCAGATGTGAAAGCGCCATAAGATCACTGTTTTTGTAACTAATGATTTCCAAACTGTATGGCGTCGTAAAGGTGAGGGTTTCAAAGAGAAATGCATGGTGCCTGCAGTGAAACGGTGGTGGCGGTGTCCTTATGTGGGCTGCATGAGTGCTGCTGGTGTTGGGGAGCTGAATTTCATTGCTATCATGAACTCAACAACGTACTGCTCTATACTGAAGGTGAAGATGCTGCCATCACTCCCTACACTTGGTCATCGTGCCTTTTTCCAACACGACAATGATCCAAAACACACATCTGGAGCTACTGCTGCATTTTTGAAGAACAGGGTGAAGGTGACTGAACGGCCAAGTCTGTCTCCTGATCTGAACCCAATCCAACACCTGTGGGGAATTCTGAAGCAGCAAGTTGAGCATCACTCTCCATCCATCATCCAGGCTCTAAACGAGGTTCTTCTTGAAGAATGGAAAAAGATGGATGTCGCAACATGTCGCCAACTAGTTCATTCCATGCCTAGAAGACTTGGTGCTGTCCTTGAAAATCATGGTGGTCATAAAAATACTAGATGTAATTTTAGTAAAACTGAAGATTTTGTGGTCTATTAACCTTAATTTCATGTAATGGAGTTAAAGAAGGGTTCAATAAAACCCAGCCTTGTGAAAAATCTGGAAATTGTCTTTTTGTTTATTGAGCTGATAAAATTTGTACTTTTTAAAGGGGTTGTACTCATTTATGCTGAGCTCTGTATATAAATAGTTTACAATTTTATAAAATCCTGACAAGCTCATAACTAACTTTGAGACTTTTTGGGACCCTGGGGTTTAAAGTGTAATTCCACCATGTTGCTGTTTGCCCAGAAGTGTCACCCTGTCAGTGAATGTTGCTTCTTTAACCATTTCTATTATTGGATTTCACTTAAAACAGCCACCAGAAGGTTGTGTTTGATGGAACTGACAAAATAAATGCTGACACTGTAGTGCTACTGGTTTATGAAGACAGAATTACTGAAGAGGAAAATTGAGCCAAAGACAGAGGCGCACATCAGCCTCTGCTAGTACAAACTATTCTGCAGATGCATGAGGAGAATTATTAAGTATGGCTTTTTAGTCAAATTTTAATACAAGGGAAAATTTACAGCAGTTGATCGCACAGTTGTCAATAAGAAAAAGTTTGTTATTAGACATAAAGAGTATATCTCTCTCCATTGATTGCAGTCTCAGGTCAGTTGAACACGGATACTTCATTTTCTAAAACCTACAAATTAAGTGAATAATGTCACAGTAGTTATAAATATTTAAAAAAGGAATCAAAGCCATGAACAGGAACAAAGAATGTCAGATACAAACAATTACATTAATTAAATCAAATAGACTTGTGTGACTTTAATAGTGATTAGTCACTAAATAACTTTAATTACTGGAAAACTATTTTGTAGAATATCTGAAATTAACAAAAAGAAAAAATAACATTTGAACGTAAGAAGGTGTAAGAGAATAAAACAGTAAAGGATAAACAAAATTATTTATGAAATTCAATATGTAGGCTATATGCATGGCTAAATGATGTAAAAATATTATATTATTAGAACTTGGCTATTGGGATGGGCTATGTCGGATAATATACGAGTTTATGAGAAATAAAAACAAGACTTGTTTGGCTTGCAGGGTTTAAATGTAATGATTTCTTCAGTTATTTCTGATTTTGATGTAAAAGAGAAGAAACATAGATCATATATGCAGACATTACCAGAGTGGAGAAACCAGTTTGTTTTCCTTGCAGACACGAAGCACAGAGCGCGCGCTCCGCGCGGTTGTCGTCTCCAAACTCCAGAGACACGCACGAACCCAGAACCAGAACCAGAACCCACCAGCAGCGGCTCCGAGGGAAGACAGCCATGGACTGGGGACGGAACATTGAGCACACCATAACAACAACAACAACAACAACAACAACAATAATAATAATAATAATAATAACAATAATCATCATCATCATCATCATCATCATCATAATTTAAAGCTAAATATGAAACGGAATGAAAAGATTGCTGACGCCAACTTCTAATTATTTTAATTTATTTTTAACAAACTGCATTAAAGCATTTGTCTTCTATAGGAGTTTTGGATTCAAACAGGTAATTATCTAAAATTTTTGTGTTTGAACCGGCGTTATTTTTTTATTTTTTATTTATTTATCACTACTATTATACGTATCATAAGCCCATTTGTAGAAGTATTGCCAAGTACCGTAAAAACCCTGCGCGCGCTCACCTCTGTGGTTCTCCAAGCAGGGTTCTGACGGTGTTTCTGGAAGGGTCCAAATTAAAACGAACCGGATCTCCCCGCTGCTTCCCAGGTGGCGGAACAGTTCGGTCCGTCTGCGACAGGAACCGACCAACGAGCTTGATCCAGCGTTTCGGGCTGAATTGAAGTTATCAGCGTCAGCTACCAGTTCTGGAACAAAGTGCTGTCATTTAAAGGTGTTCCATCGCTGACGTCACCAAAGACAAAAGTAAGGGAGGAGAGAGAAGACCAGAACCATGAGCACGAGCTGGTGTTATAGTACAAAACGGGTTCAGAGGATTTCTTCACACATAGGAGTTAATTTCAGAGCAAGATGCAGATTAACACAGAAGTATATGATCCAGATGACACAGTCAGGAAGTTTAACTCCTTTCACAAAATAAATAAACCTAGAACACAGCTTGGATGTCAAGGGTTGGAATAGAGGGGAAAATGTGATATATATATATATATATATATATATATATATATATATATATATATATATATATATATATATATATATATATATATATATATATATATATATATATATATATATATATATATATATATGAATGAATGAATGAATGAATGATAAACTAAGAATTTTGTAATTTCTTGTTTCTTAGTCAGAGACTTCCAACACATCTTTTATACATTTCTTTACAACGTAATTTGCTACTCCAATTAAACCTTCCTACATTTAATAAAAGATCCAGGACCCCATGATGACCTACCCATGACCCTTTAAGAGTCTTCCTGATAAGGATATTTTTCTACTCAATGATTTGGTTTGGGTTAGGGTGTGTCATGTTGAACTTTGGATGAGCAGATGTGGAAATTTTAAGAAATTTTTTTTTCTTTCATATGAACTGTAGACACTGCACTGCCAATAACCTTGTTTACACTGAATTGTGACGGGCCAGTCCTTCTGTGTTTGCCTCTTTCCTGTCATCTCAGAGCCCAGTTGGTCCTGGCCAGTCGTTCTGGATCTGCTGGAAGTATTTTTTTCTGTTCAGAGCCAATTTTCCTTTCCACTGTCACCCTATTTAAGGAAAATTGGAATTATTGTCCTTTTAGAATGAATTCTGTTTTATTAGATGTTAATTGCAGTTACAGCTATCTGTTGGCCAGAATTTTGTCTTAATGGGATTTTTCAGCCAGGATTCTATTACATTCAACTGAAAATACTCAGCTGAGGCAGGTATGGATGAGCAATGCATGCAAATGATGGTTTAACTATTTTATGTTTTTAATGTCAGCATTTATAGTTTTAAACACAGTTGTGTCAATGAAAATGCTATTTGCTTGAAAATTTGCATAAAATTTTAGAAGCTCTATATGTTAGAACTAATTTTTATGATATGAGCTGCTGTGTTGTCTAACTCACACATTTCTGTCAGCTTAGTCTGTGTGACAAACAAGCTTTTTAATTAACTAAAGACTGCTATCATCACCAAGCTGCTTCATTGTTTGTTTCACTCCCCGTTGCTGGAAACCTCATTAAAGATTAACCTGTGCGTGTGTGTGTGTGTGTGTGTGTGTGTGTGTGTGTGTGTGTGTGTGTGTGTGTGTGTGCGTGCGTGCGTGCGCGCGAATGCATATATAATTTTTTTTTTCTTTTTGCAAGGATATCTGCTTTTAAATGTTTTTAATGCTCAAACGCTCTAAGTCATTTTTCCATGACCCAACTATATCATCAGTGGAAGTTAGCACCTTTCCATCCCCACTGTTGACAACAGTAATTCCAGTCAGGACATAAATCAACACAGCACACTTTAGTGAAAGTTACTAACGACCGGGTTCAAACCGAGGATTTGTGTCTTAACTGGTTCAGACAGTGATCTATTGACTTTAGTGGTCCAAGTGTTGGATTGGTGTCTGGTTAATACAGTATACTGGTGTTTATACTGGTCTAGACAGCAGAGTTGTGTTTATTAGTGTTCTCAATATTAGCCGATAGGTTGGGCTGGACTCTTGATGTGGTTAGGTTAGGCTGAGGCATGTTTGGACTGCAGAGAGAAAATGGGAAAACCTGTGCCAATGTCAAAGCTAATTGTTTGCAACGCTACACAATGTGCAGTGGTTTGGTTGCTACCCTGAGGAACAGGGAATCTGCCAGGTGTCATTGATAATTTGGTTTAGGGACTATGGGACTGCTTGATTTTGATTGATTAAAGATCAAGTACAGTTCATTATATTAGAGGTACCCTCCATAAAAAAAATCTAAACCCAACAATCTGGGTTTGATCAGGCTCTTGTCATATTTTGCATGTCTGTCTGATGGATGGAAACTGGAAGCTCTGCCTCTCAATTTACTTTTAGAAACTCTAGTATTCAGAGCCAAGTGCTCTGTTGAGAACATCTAGAACAAGAAGATCTCTAAAGATGCTGGATAAATCTATTCTGTCCTCCTAGCTCTCAGAACCCTGGCAGTTTCAGTCTGGATTAGCTGGAGACCTATAAAGGGTTTTTTCACTGCGCTAGTTCCAGTGCAAGTTCAGTGCCAGAGCCTGAGCCTCGACATTATCTTTGACCAGGACATGTCATTCAAATCCCACGTTAAACAGGTTTGTAGGATTTCCTTCTTCAACCTTTGGAATACTGCTAAGATTAGAAACATCTTGTTCAGTGTCAGAAACTCCCATCAGCCTCAGTGTGCCACGTAACCCCCACGTGATCATGCAAATTATAAATGGAAGTCAACTCATTTACTCGCTACTCATCTAATCCATGCCCCAAGTTCAACCCTTCACTCATTTGACTAGTAAGTCAGATATTAACCCTTTTTTGTAACACCTGCACTTTCCTCTCCTCTCATCCTCTCTCCCTCTCCCGATGAACTGACTAACCACTACAATTCCAGCCTACAAAACATCCTTGACACCTTGGCTTCATTAAAAACCCATACTGTCTGTTTTTCCACCTCTGCCCCCTGGTTCACAACTAACCTCAGATCATTAAAAGCTGAAGGACGCCAGCTGGAGCACCTCTACAAGAGGACGGGCCTCTCTATACACAAAGACCTGTACATCGCCCACCTAGCCCGTTATAAGGATTCTATTTCTCATACCAAATCAGATTACTACTCCAGTCTCATCAACTATAACAACGGAAACTCCAAAACTCTTTTCTCAGTCCTCCATAAAATTTTCAATTCTCCCTCTTTACTACCCCCTCACTTCTACTCCACTGACACCTGTAATAGCATCCTTTCCTTTTTTAACCATAAAATAATAATAATAATAATAATAATAATAATAATAATAATAATAATAATAATAATGCATAGAACTTATATAGCGCTTTTCTAGACAACCAAAGACGCTTTCACACACTCTCCCATTCAGACACTGCTAGTGATGGTAAGCTACTTGTAGCCACAGCCACCCTGGGGAGGTCTGACAGAGGCGAGGCTGCCATTTGGCGCCGTCGGCCCCTCTGACCACACAGTCAAGTTGGGTGAAGTGTCTTGCCCAAGGACACAACAGCAGGACACCCCTGGCAGGAGCTGGAATCGAACCCATGACCCTCCGATTATGAGGCAACCCGCTCTACCACCTGAGCTACTGCTGCCCCAAAATCACCCAAATCCACCAGAGTCTTAGCCCGGCTGACCCCCACGTACTTCCCCCTGACGATCTCACGTTCTTTGAATCCTTCTCAGACTTCACAGTTCCTGATGCCTCTTATATCTTGGATTTAATATGCAAATCCAAGCCCACCACCTGTCAGCTTGACCCACTCCCATCTTCCCTGGTTGAATCCTGCCTCTCATCCCTGTCACCCTTCATTTGCTCCCTCATTCATGCCTCCCTCTGGACTGGAATCGTTCCCTCAGCCTTTAAAACTGCAGCTCTAACCCCGTTTCTCAAAAAGCCCGGCTCAGACCCCAACAATTTCAATAACCTTCGCCCCATCTCCAACTTACCATTTATATCTAAGATACTTGAAAAAGTTGTTGCTAACCAACTACACTCTCATTTATCCAGCAACTCCCTCTACGAAGTCTTCCAGTCTGGTTTCCGCCCCCACCACAGCACAGAAACGGCTCTGATCAAAATCACAAATGACCTCCTTCTTGCAGCAGACTCAGGCCAGATTTCCATCCTCATCCTACTCGATCTCAGTGCAAAATTTGACACCATCTCACACACAGTTCTACTCCATAGACTATCCACCATCGACATTTCAAAAACTCCTCTAAATTGGTTCAAATCTTATCTATCTAATCGCACTCAATTTGTCCACTCTAACCCCAAGCCAGTTACCTCTGGAGTTCCTCAGGGCTCAGTCTTAGGTCCCCTTCTCTTCATAATCTACTTACTCCCACTTGGCAATATCTTCAGGAAATTTAATATTCATTTTCACTGCTACGCCGATGACACCCAGCTCTACTTCTCTACCCAACCAAACCCCCCGCTCCCTTCATCCTCCCTTTTCAGTTGCCTCACCGAAGTCAAATCCTGGTTTTCTTCTAACTTTCTACAGCTCAACAGTAATAAGACTGAGATCCTCCTCACTGGCACCAGTCCATCTCTATCCAAGACCAGTTCATTCTCACTCAGCTTCTACAACACCACACTTCTCCCCACCACCAAAGCTAAGAGCTTGGGTGTCATCTTAGACAACACCTTATCCTTCATTCCTCATATTAACAACACAATAAAAACTGCTTATTTTCATCTTCGCAATATCAATCGGCTCCGCCCCTCCCTCAGTCAGCACTCCACTGCTATTTTGGTCCACAGCCTGGTCACCAGTCGCATCGATTACTGTAATGCCCTCCTCTCTGGTCTCCCTCTAAAATCACTCAACAAGTTACAGTTAGTCCAAAATTCAGCTGCCCGGATAATCACCAAGACCTCCACTTTTGACCACATTACCCCTGTCCTGCAACAACTTCACTGGCTCCCTGTCAAATACAGAATTGACTATAAGATACTTCTTCATGCCTTTAAAGCCATCCATAATCTCGCTCCCCCATATCTTTCTAATCTCCTCCACATTGTCACTCCCACTTGCTCTCTCCAATCATCATCTTCACCTTCCCTCTCTGTTCCTCGCACTCGTCTCAGTACTACGGGAGCCAGAGCTTTCAGACACTCAGCTCCAAAACTCTGGAACACTCTACCGCCTGACCTCCGCAATATAACCTCCTTCCCAACCTTCAAGTCTCAACTCAAAACTCACATGTTCCGCCTGGCTTACT